ATGGCAGTGGGTCTGGATTTAGGTTTGGGTCTGGTCCTTAACTTGTTTTCTTAGCTCTGAGATCTCCTTTTATTTATTTTACTTCATTCTGCTTGTTTGATTTAGTATATCTTTTCCCAAAGTTCTTTCCTAACTTGGGATCTGCTTGCTCATTTAGTTCCATTTTTCTTCCCAGTGTGGCTGCTTCTGATGCTTTTCATACTCAATTTCTGTCTCTCTTATATTTCCATTTTTAATTTATACTTGGTTGTGGCATGTTCACACAGCTATTAGATTTTTCTTTTCACAATTACTGTGGGCAACTCTGGCCAGAACTTTCACATGTTCTGATACAGCTTGGGTCAATCCTCCTCAATGCCCTTTCTAACTTTCCTGGGACCAGTTTGTAAACACACAGACATGCATATGCACATGTGCAAACATACAGAGAGACACACACATGCACACCCCTCCCCACTCCTATCTACCTCCTGCAGTGAGATTGTGGTCTGTGCACTATGTCTCTACATTTCTGTGGTCTGAGGTTGGTGGGACCAGGGAAGGGCCAATATCAGCTGGGTTGACTGCTGTCCTGCTGGGGCCCTGGTCTCTGTACCCTTTTTTATTATTTTTTTAAATTTTATTGTGGTGAAATATATGTAACAAAATAATATTTGCCATTTTCACTATTTGAAGGGTACAACTCAATGACATTAATTACAAAAACTCACTGTGCCTTGATTCCGTGAAGACTGGGGGAGCCAAGGGCCTGCTTGTGCTAAAGACAAAGAGGCTTATGGACTTGGGCAGAATGACTAAAGTGGTTTTCTCCACAATAAGGAAAAGTACTAAAAGATGGAGCTAACCAAAAAGAGCAAACTCCAACAGCTTTGTAGCACCTGGTTTGAGTTTATACCATTTTCCCCTGAGTTGGGTTACACTGAGAATCCTTGTAGAGGAGGGAGAAAAGACGGAGGTCAGGCTAGGGAACCGACCACTCTCTTTGTTACCAGGTCTGGAACAACCTCAGTGTTTTCTGAATTCTCTTACAGAAGGCACTGAATGTTCAGGAGACCAAATGGTCAGCAATGACTAAAAGCAAAGACAAGAAGATAAGGGGGCAGCAGACTAGAGCACTGGAAATGGTACAACCAGAACAGGATGAATGAGAATGAGGACACATTGAAACTGTAACCAATATCACTGAATAATGTGTGTAGAAATTGTTGACGTTCCAGTCGGGGCACATGGTCTTTAACATCATTGGTTTAAAACAAAAGTCAAGAGTCCTCAGGCTGGAAGTCCTTCCACCAGGGGTCACGATAGTGAAATGAGTATCGTGGTTCTCATGTCTCTTGAAGCTGGGCTGCTACAGTGTCCAGAGGGACTCATGGGTGAGAGCAGTCCTACACACAAAAAGAGTGCACAGTGGTGTGAGGCACGCTCCTGAGAAGGGTGGGTCCATTCGTCCTATGACTTTCACAGCCTCCCTGAATGAGAGCTGGGAAGTAGGTTCTGGTTCCAGGCACTTGGTGAAGAAGGCCAGAAATTGGGGTATAGTTGGAAGGCTGACTCCTCTCCCTCTCCCAAGACCTGATGGCTTCATACTCTTCACTTCTGGGAAAGGAGGTCCACTCTCATGGGGTTATCCTGCCACTCGGGAAGGCAGGCCAAGTTCTCGGCCACTTCCTTCTGGACTGGCCAGCCCCAGGCCTTGAAGAAGGGTGCCAGGTTCTTGTGCACTTTTTCAGAGAACTTCTTCACCCACAAGTTCATCTTGCCAGTGTTGTCTCTGGGCAGGCCAGAGAAGGTCTGGTACTCAGCAAAGAGCTGGGTAAAGGGCTCCCATCCAAAGGCCTCCTGGAGCTGGGAGAGACAGAAGGGGCAGAGTGAGGCATGCGGTCTACCAAAGCCACCCCACATAGCAAGGCAACTATGGGAGAGAAACAATTGACAGAGAGAGGCATCATGTTTGCCAGAGTGACCCCACAGGCATGTTCACAAGTATGTGACAGTGATGACATCCTCTGACCATTAGCTTCACTAAGTCCCAACTCAGCCGCCTGCAAAGAAACACAATCTCATGTACTCATTCCACCTCTTACCCACAAAAACTTACACCCCTTCAGAGAGTTGGTGGGGTGATGGGGAATATTGTGTCTGAAAGGAGGGAATACTCAACAAATGACAGTCATCTCTATTACCTTCCATTTAAGAGGACTATAACTTGAAGTGTTTTACTAAGAATCATGGCAGGTTTGAGCCCAGCTGAGCTAAGAAACCCTCCCATCTTACATATCCAGCATATTAGGACCCTAAAAGCTGAGAACCTCCAACATTCTGGAAGTAATAAAACTGTTACATTTTTATAGCCATTGCAGACTTGAGACTATCTGCAAGGCTACCATATTAGTCGGTAGAGCGCTGTCTTTGTGGTGAAAAGGGGAAGAGGCAGGCACGTCCTAGTGGAAGCTGCTGGCAAGGGGTCCTGGCTAGCTAAAACTATAGTGCTTTGGAATTAACAGGGACATTCCTGCTAACCCCAGAGTCCCTAGTGGTGCAACGGTCAATATGCCTGGTTACTAACCAAAGATTGGAGGCTGAAGTCCACACAGAGACACCTCAGAAGAAACGTCCCATGATCTTCCAAACATCAGCCAATACAAACCCCACAGATCAATGCATTTCACAAGAGATCATGGGGGTGCTACAGGATGGGACATTGGTTTGTCACCATTGTGCATGGGGTCACCAAAAATCTGGGCTGACTACACAGTAGCTAACAACAAACTTGCTTCATGACCTCGGGGTTTTCCTCTTGGGAAAAAGTGGTGTCAAGTGAGGTGACGGCATTTTGAGAAACTTACTACCAGACTACCTACAATCCTTCTGGTAAACCAGCTGTCCCATATACACTGTGACTATGAAATAACATGAACCTCATTTGACTCACAAAACTAAAGTAAGGAAAACAGAACAAAAGCAGAAAAACTACCATTTATGGAGCACTTACTGGGGGATAAGGACACACCAATGAGTAACACAGCTGTGAATCAATCCTATTGTTGTTGCTGCTAGGTACCATTCAGTTGGTTCCAACTCATGCTGTTGTTGTTAGGTGCC